GTCTGGACGATGAAAATGCCGAGATTCAGGTGAATCATCAATTCACTTAGTACTTATAAAACTACTGCTACTCGAGATATTTAATCAATTATGTCGAAACAGGAAGATGGATGGGTGGTCTGCAGGGTGTTCAAGAAGAAAAGTAACACTAATCGGGGTTTCCAACCTGATCATGAACTCGATCTTCGTGATCATGAAGAACATGAGCATTTGACTCCTCACATGAAGCTGGCTGGCGTTTCCACGTCGTCGATGATGGAGCCAACAACAAGACAAAATTCTCAACCTCTATGCGACTACTCATTAGTAGACTGTTCCATGCATCTCCCACAATTACTAAGCCCTGACGTCGCCGAGTCGATGTCCACGGTAGTTCGTCATCATTATCACCATCCCCATCACCATCCTCCTTCCTTCTTGCCAGTCCCCAGCTTGAACGCCGTGGTGGAGGATCTGGACTGTAACTCTCAAAACTTACTAAGCTTGACATCTGGATCTGGCGGTTGTGGTGGAGGATTACTCCAATATAACGAGGAAAAGTTCAGTAGCGATTGGACATTTTTGGACAAGCTTCTTGCATCTCACCAAAGCTTCGATCAACAAAGCAAATGCTATTCCTTCATGTCTCAACCTGCTACTGCCGCTCATCATCATCACCATCATGTCGTTCCTTCATCAGCTCAGAAACTTCCCCTCCCAATAATCCCATTCCACCATGTAGGCTCTGGACCTGAGTTCGTGAAGTTCTCCCACAAATAGCTGCTACCCTTGTACGAACTAATTTTTGAGCTTTACTAGTACAATTTCGTATGGCTAGCTCCCTTCAGAAATACAACTCACGATTATCTTCCCTACGTCTCTCCGAAGTCAAATTGAATGATGTGGATGGATTCCTTAACGACCCGTAAACTCGCTTAATTTCCTTCTCCTATTGAAAGCATAGGCGTACTCTTGTTAATTAAAACTCTTTCACGTACCAAATGCTAGATACCGTAGCATTTTACTGAAGAAATTCCAAATGGAAGGAAATTTACTGAAGAAGTAAAACGTTTAGAGCAATTGACTCGAGAAGAATTTATGCCTTGTGTGCAAACTGAGGGTAGATCTCCTTGGTTAGCCAGTGCCTCTGGGCCGTTCACAGTCCAATCTGATATGGATAAATCGAGAACTTTTGGCACTCAAGTTTCTAGTTTGGTGGAGAGGATATGTGCCAAGATTCTCTTTTATCTTATGGCTGGTATGCAAACGTAGGCTGAGTACAAAGGATGAGATGAATTAGAGATTAAAAAGTCAGAGTTTTAAATTTGAATCCTAACATCCATATCTTATCTGATAGATTGTTACATCAAGTTGTTTGATTTATAGATTGCTAGGAATTTATATGATAGGATTTTATCTTGTATTTTAATTTGTAGATAAGAATTTATTTTTTGTAACACCTGCGGAGAAACTTGTACATAAAGTCACAATAGTGTGAATGAAAGACTATCTTTTCTAAAATTTTACATGATGAGGGATAATGGGGTGTCAAGCTTGACAGTTTGTGTGTGCATGTTCTGCGAAAAGGAGGAGGAGACAATTGATCATTTATTCTTTTTGTGGGACTTTACTGCTGCAATCTGACAAAAATTACAGTTGTTGTGTGCTGTGTTTAGAGGAGTGTTTCCGTGTTCTCTTGAGTTGCCTTGGTTATGTGATCATTGGACATCAAATCTGTTCTCACACAAATTGAAGATACTGGCACTTTCTTCTGTGTGTGTATTAAATATGGAAAGCTAGGAACTTGGCTGGTTTTCAAGGGAAGTATATGTCAGCTTCAGAATTTGTTCTTTGGTGCTGTTAGAGACATTGGTATCTATTTGAAACAAGAAGGTTTTGACTAGACGCTACAAGAGTAGATGAAGAGTAATCACTGAAGTAATCGAAGACAACAGCTACATGCAACAAGGTGAAAGTTCTAATGATTCAAAACTTCTTTTCTATTTGCCCTGATATATTTTGTTATTGTACTTGGATGGTTGCATTACACATCTATCAACCATTAGTTGGTTATGCATTTTGAAGCTTTTGATTTAACGATTTGACTCAATGTTGTATTGGTTCTCTATATAATTATTTTTAAATTAATTAGAGATATAGATAGGCTCTGGAGGTTATCAAAAAACAAGAAAGGACGATTTTGAGATGCTGTAATTTTGGATGAAAAAGTTAAACGTTTCTTGCCTAAATAGCCAGATTAGAGGTTGGCAAAAGAATATATTTTACCACCCTATTTTAGTATCAACTCTAAATCTGAAGGTTTGACGAGTTTCTTAAAGTATATTAATTATTTTGCTTGTATAAGTCATCCGATTGGTGGTGAAAAACCAATATATAGGAGAAGCAATTAATTCATTCTAGAGAGTTGTCTGTACGTAGGAAATTTTAATAAATAGCTGAATTAGTCAATTTTATCCCTTTATGTGTCTACAGCAAGCATCTAGTAGAAATTGGGAAGCAAAGAAGAAGAAAAAAGACCTGACAAAAAGAAAATTTTTCTAAAGATAAATATCTATTTAGTTATGTGCATAGGCATGACTGAATTTAGCTGCCAAAATTTCATGTATAGCGAGCGCAACCGAAACACAATTGATAACTCAAGAATAATTGCTAACTATAGGCCAAGAAATTGCATTAGTCACAAAAAATTGCATTTTACAGGTATCTCTAGATAAGAGAAAATTGGACATATGTCACTGAGAAATTAAGGTTTAGAAGCATTGAAAAAAAAATTGATGAATTTGAAGCCCAAACATCCAGCTAAGTAAAGCTAAATGAAAAACATGAACCATCTGTATCTGTAAAATAGGAAAATAAAAGAATGAAAGCCGAAAAGAAAAACAAAGGCTTAAAAAGTCGATATTCATTCATTAAGGGGTCCATTTGGATTGAGGGATTTAAAACTTTTCGTCCTTAAACTTTGAGTTAGGGACACATTTCGTCTCCAAATTTTTAGATGCACCACATTTAGTACATGAATTAATTATTTTGGATCATATTTAGTTCAAAAACAATAAAATATTCAATTTAGATGGAGAAGGCTGACATGACCGTTAATTTTGATTGATAAATTGTTTTTACTTAACGGCCACGTGACCAAACACGTGACTTTCACCATCCAAATTAAGAATCCTTTGGATGCGAGATCCACTAAAATTTTAGGACTGTTCCTCTCCATTCCAAAACAAGTGAGGGTGGAAGTGAAGGTCTAGAAAAATTCCTAAATCATTCCCGTAATCTCTATCAGCTTTCTCAGTCTTCAAAGTCGAGCTTTGTCTCCAATACACAATTAGATGATTACTTACCATGCCTGTAAGTTTAATATCAATGGCTCCAAATGAATGTACCAAACAATGCCCCTTAATCTTACTTAAAACTAATAAAGTTTTCCAACTTTAATCCAAATCTCTTCCTATTTTTTTTTTGCTATTCAAATTCTTACATTGTCAGATCTTCTATGCCCATCTAAAACAAGTCTGTCGCTTTATTTTCTTTTTTTTTTTTAGGGCTGAATAATCAATCAACAAAGCTTTACTCTTATGCCTATAATAACTTGGTCAAAAAGAGGTGGAGGTATCAGAATTTTATGCGTATCGTCTTTTCTTTTACAGGAAATGACACGATTTGTCACTAAATTATTTGTAGTTCCCTGTTTTGGTCATCCAACTTTTTATTTGGTCAATAAGGCTATTCAACAAACTAAAACATATTTTCTTTAGTTTGACCAAAAAAAAAAAACTAACTAAAACATATTTCGTGTGACAAAAAAGGTATATTTTCTTTAGTTGAGTGACCAAAGTATAAGTTTTTATTAATTGAGTGATAAAAAAAAATACATTGTTTTGTTAATTGAATGATAGTCCAAACTCGATGAGTAGATACAAAATAAAGGAGATGAGCCCACTATAAATTTCAAATATTCTCATCCATCCCTTAATTGAGAAAACTTTAACGAAGGAAAAAAAGATAGTCCTAGCTAATTTATTGCCTCTTTTTGTCATTTTCTCTTTCTTTTATTTAGTTTTGCTGTGTGCGTAGCAGTCTCAGACTACAGCAAAAGTGGGGAATGATTAGAGTATATATTAGGTGGGATAAAGTCTCTCAGTTTTGCTATTTCGTTTGTTTATCTTGTCCCACGTCGACTTGAGAGGTGTGCGTGTGTTTGGATTTAAGGTCCGTGAGTTTACCCAGAAGTCAGCAATTGCCTTTTGGGTAAACTGAGGGAGTTACCTTAGATCCGGGTATGTGTGTGTTTTCTTACAGTTGTTGAAGTCAAGAAAAAACATGCGAGGAGTGTAGTGTGTGGTGAGTTCTTCGTTAAGGCTCTTAAGCCTCCCTCGTTCCCTTGCCCCATAAAATTCTTGTCCCACATCGACTTGAGAGGTGTGCGTGTGTTTGGATTTAAGGTCCGTGAGTTTACTCAGAAATCAGCAATTGCCTTTTGAGTAAACTGGTGGAGTTACCTTAGATCCGGGTGTGTGTGTATTTTCTTACAGTTGTTGAAGTTTGTTATCTCACTGTAACGAGACCTGACATTTCGTTTCCAGTGAGTGTTGTGAGTCAATTTCTTGATACCCCTCGTACTAGTCATTGGGATGCTGTTATACGGATTCTCAGGTACACTATCAGTGTATATAGGATTTATTCTTAATTAATTATTTATTTAAATTATATTGTTCCCATATGCATGTCAGCAGACGACGGCATAGACTTTGTCAAAGAAAACGAACCCCTTGACATCTCTTAAAAATCTTTTAGTCCCTCTAGTGCACATAATAACCCAATTCCAAAAATTCCCATAATCTGAAAGGCTTTCCATTTACCACAATAATACAACACAGTATATCATTTATTCTACATGAGTATTTCTGTCCCTAAGTTGCAATGAGATATTCATTTTTCTGTCCCTAAAACCCAACTGAGGTAGTAACAGACACTGAATTTCTCTTAAACAGCCAAAAAAAAAAAAGGTACTTGGCATTTCTTACCTTTTCCAATGCACACCAACAGAATATAACTGGTTTGTTGCCGACTTCAACAGTTTGCTGCCATGCAAAATTACATCAGCAGATGATAAGACTTAATCAACAAGGAGCTCCATGAGATAAGAGAGTTTCGGCACATGGATTGTAATGCTTTCAAAGAATTGATACAATTGAAATGCAAATTTCAGCCGCAGCAATTCAAGAATTTTGACGACTTCTTGTGATACATGCAGCCATCTCTTCCAAAAGCTAATTGCCACAATGTAAATGATACTGAGAAAAAGATCATATCCTATTGACCGCTATACTGACAAAGAAACCCAACAGAGCACCAGCAATGACTTCAATCTCTGTGTGGCCAACAGATTCTTTCAGTGGGGTGCAACCAAAAGGAATGCTTTCTGAGTCTCCTTTCACGATTGGCATTCTCCAAGTTCTGTTTTCAGATTTAAGCAGCAATGGAGCATTCGGTACTCTTAGTTGAGAAGATCTAAATTTGCGCAACGAGCTGGCGTCAAAGGTTTCTATATTTGTAGATACTTCTTCTGGAAAATATTCAGTAGAATCATTAACATCACAAGAGGAAAATGACTCTACATTGTTTCTGAACAAAACCCTGTTTAACACTTTTGCTTGACTTCCCACTTCCCTTCTAACACCCTACAAACGCAAAAATAGACAGGTGAGATCATATGCCCCTGCACTGACTCCTAAGATATATAAGATCACAATTTCCCTGAATTTGTGACAAAATGCAAATCGATCAAATTAACATGGGCAATTCTTACAATCATGAGGTCCAAAGATCAATTTCAATATATACAGGAACCAATGCCAATCTTAACTGAACCATACCGTCCAAAAATGTATTACTGGAAGCCGTGTCATGACCAAATATTCTACAAAAGAAAAAGGAAAAGGTACACTTCATGCAATATCAGGTTATGTTGAGAATAAGTAGTTATTATTAATTGAAATATACAAGACACAAGTGCCTAAAAGCTGATTAATAGTTCTGATGAAGAACCTTTTCATTTTGACTGTATCATAGAAAATGTGGTTTTATCACTCTCTGGAACTAAATCATTCTGAAATGAGGAGGAGCTGCCTCTAGGGCTCCATAATAATGCTCCAAAACACTCTTCAGGTCAAGGCACATTTATTGTCATAAAACCGACTTATATGCGTATGAAGGGCAAATTAGCACATGAACATTAAAATTTATGAATGTCAAACAGATTAAATATGGGATAGAAAGATCGTGGTCATGTCCCTTGAACCATATTATGGCATCTACTTATTAACAAATTCAGCACTCAAATGGTGAATGCAGCAGAATATAGCATTACATTGTTTTCGCTTTGTTAATAGTATAACTTAATTTTTCCAGCTACATAGTTTTGTTACTGGAAACAAAATAATTGTAGCATATGATAGACTTGGCTAAAGTTGGTGAAGAACAAATACAGGAAATCTTAAGAAGTCGGTCTTGACAATTTAAGGTTGTATCAGTCATATCACTCAGTAGCCTCTAGAACACAAACTGTGGAAATCAAGAGTGTCAAAGAAGAATTTTGATTTATGAGAAAGTTCAAAGAAAGGTGAAAATAGAGGTTGAGATAATATGACAACAGAAGGACCTTGAAATCAAACTTAAAAATGTCAACCATAACATCTTTAACTAAACAAATATTGTAAGGTTGCAGAGAACGTACTTGGCTACTGCACCAACCTCTAGTAGATTCAGTCACACACAAGCAGTATTTGAATACTTTCAGGAGCCTCTAGGCATCTCTCAATCAAGTTGGAGAGTCACTTTAATCATTTTTCTGATTCTGTTGTTGCTTTTCATGATATAACATATAGATGAAATGGGGCCTTAGCATATCTTAATTCCATCAAACTGAATAAAGTGTTCGTTTTACTTTGCCCATATAAATTCAAATAGCACAATATGTAGATTTCACCAGGTCTCCTTAGCCAGAGCAATCTTACCACTGTGGCTATTGCAGGCCGGAATTGTCTCTGTTCTTATATCTGCATCCATGCTTCTTAGTTTGCCAGCACGCCATGTGCAGCATGGAGTAAAGTCTCAGATATGGCTTTCCTAGGCATTTCTATTTCACCATTCAGGTAACACCATTAATTTTTTTTGCAATTTGGCTGCAGTGGACTAAAAATGCTTTTGTCAGGACATTCTCCTAAAAACCACTCCAAACTAAAGGAACCCTGCCAAGCATGCATAGGAAAAGCTCAGATGGCGCAAAGCACCAGCCCAGAAACAACGAGCTGGACCTAAATCATTGTCCATCACTATTATCCCCACGCATTCAATGTGGATTAACTCTCAGAGGTGTAATGAAAGCTTTAACCCTGTAATTTGTGCCCAGCAGCCTCATATTTCAGGGCAATCAAACCCAATGCACGATTTAGGAATTAGGATGTTATTGGAATCTCACTCTCAGAAGTTTTTTTTTTTTTTTTTTTTTTTTTTGGGACACAGATGTCATTGATATCTCAAGGTAACAAGTTCAGCTTTCAGGATTTAGGATGAAGTAAAAGGGGAAAAAATCAAACTTTCAGCACAAACCTGTGCATCGTACATAACAATGCCAGCATAAATAACCGCTAAACCAAAAATTGCATCAGAGAAACCCCTGAAATAGGGAAAAGGAACAAAAAAAAAATGGAACTTAGATTAGTTCAGTAATATCATTCTTCCAGCTAAGACTTACTAAGAATCAAGTCAATGGAGCAAAACAAGTCTTCTAATAGTACATATATGTCTTGCTTTCGACAAAGTGAAAAAAACGATGGAAATGAACCATACCTTTCTAGGCCAAGGATTGTTGCAGTCGCAACAACTGCCTGTGGAGTGGGAATAGATAGAAATCAATGACCATATTTATAACTTAAAAGAAAAAAAAAATCAGTGTGGCAAAAAGCTACAAAGTTGAGCTCTTCCCTCCCTAGCCCCTCCTGAAAGTGAAATTTTCAAGCGAAACGAACGCTGTTAGGTTATAATAAAATATTCATCCATTTCAAGGCTATCGAACTAGCAGTCTTTTTTTTAAAAAAAAATTGGAAATAAAGGAGGGTGAGGGAAAGAGAGAGAGAGAGAGGGAGGGAAATTACAGAGGAGTGCGTAGAAGGGAGCCCTCCAGCCTGAAAGGCACTCTTCAAATCGAATTTGTTGCCGTGGAGAATCGCTGAAGTAAAAGGCTTTGAGAGTTGGCCAAGGGCCGCGGATACAGCTGCTGCTATTAAAACCTACAGTCATAACTATCCTAGTGTAAATAACAACAAACACCTCCATAACTAACGCATTAAAAAAGAATATATACGTATTCGTGTAAAAACTAGCAACCCCAACCTTGTTGTGGACGATGTCAACGATTTCAACATTGGAAGCACACAGCGTTGAGAAACAGCTACTACTAAGTGTCCTTGTAGAAGATAATGTTGGGCCGGCGTTGCTTCTGAGAAAGTGGTGGTGGTATTGGCCAAGTTGAATTTCTCCGGAGGAACCAGAACCACTCAAGTGAGGACGGAATACGTGCTTCCTCATCTCGCCATACCTTTCGCTGTTGGACACCACAACTCTCGAATGCATCGAAAAGCTCCAACCTTGCAGCAACATCATCATCCCCCTCCTCCTCTCACTTATCCTAAACCCCTCCCACCTGCCTCAGCTCAGCTTCACTCTTCCCCGGTCAATGGCTTTTTTTTTTCCCCTTTAGTCAATGGCTTTAATTTAATAGGGGCGACTTTGCCATACGTATGGATGTTGGCCGTCCCGTTTGTATTTTTTGTTGGTATGGAGCTGCCAACAACTTGGGTTGTCAAATTAGCAATATGCAATTTGGCTTCCAACACCTGGGGGCGGCGTTCAAAAAAAACACCTGGGTGCGTATTATAAGTATTGTGCTACAGCTTAGTTTGTCAAATTAGAAATATGCAAGAAATAATTAAATAATTATGGATGTCTGGTTCCTATCTAATAACAAATTTATCACTAGTTCTAAGGTGATAAAGTTATAACGCTGTCATGAGATAATAAAATTATAAAACTATCATGATTTTCAAGGTGGTAAAACCTTCAAGATCATAAACTTGTCACGACTTTTCAGAAGATCTTATTAATAATTATAGTTAATTGATATATTTTGAACTACTTTCCAGATGATCTTATCAACAATTGTAGTTAATTGATATATTTTAAACTCTTTTGTAGTCTCCTATAAATAAGGGTCATCCCCTCTCTTAAAAATACTAGGCTTGGTGCCTCGCGAGTTTTGCGGGGTGTCCATTATTGACTGTCTTAAGGTAATGTAAGATTTATTTAATAACATTAGATTTGGAGTATTTTGTATGATAATGGAGTTGGAAGAGTGGATAGAGGAGTGATATATTGGATTGATTTATTTATAAATAGATATAGCAAAATTGCTGCGATTTGTATTGTGTTTTTTAAAATTAATATGATCTAAAGATTTGATGGATAATATTGGTTTCAAATTTTTTTTTATTTTAATTTAGTGATAAGTAAATATTATTTAAATTAATGGAATATATGTTATTTTTTTAAAGTTGATAGGATGGAAAATTAGGTGGAGAATTACATTGAGAGTGTTATAATTTATTGTACTTTGGGCGTTGGTAGTTTATGTATTTTAGGATGATGATATTTTCATAATTTGGATAGCTAGGATGAGAGAGTGTGCTTCGTTGCAGTGGAAAAGTCTATGGAAAGGATATAAATGAATGGGGAATTTGTTGAAAAATAAATGGATAATAGATTTATTTTTTTTTGGCAAATTTTGATATAGTTTGGGTGTTGTGTGATGAGAAAATTAATAATTTGGAATAATTTGATATCGTAGCTTGGTAAAATACGTGTTTATTAATTAAGTAGGTTTTTTTCTATAAGTAAAGATGATATTGATTTATTTATGAATGAATGTGATTGAAATAGATGGAAGTTATATTTTTGAATTAATAGAATCTGAATAAGTAAAGGATAATATTTTGAGAGTTGAGAGATTTTATATATTAATAGTTTATTAATAAATGGATATTATTGAAAGTAAGGTGATGTGTATAAACTTTTTTATAAGAAATAGAAATGATTGCACATGAAAATTATAGAGTTTAATCACTAGAATTTGCAATAGAATTTTTAAATATTTATTGTTTGATGTTTATGTGACTTATTTTATGTTACTTAAAGTTGTAGTGAATTTTGTATTATGCGTGTGTGTGTTTAGTATTTTATTTTAGGTGATATAATGGTTTACTTTTTTTAGTGTTTAGATTTTTTGTGGTTTTGTTTGTTTGTTATATATTTATTTATTTATTTATATATGTGTATATATATGTATATGTCTATTTAATATTTTATTTGAGCTTGTATAATTGTTTAATATTGTTTTAGCATGTCTATCTTTTCCAGTTTTGTTTGTTCATTATATTTGTGGCGTTCCTATTTGTCTTGTGATTCATGCATCAATATGATTTTTTTTTTTGAGTTGCATCATGTATATTTTTGTCTATATATATAAGGGTGTGGTTTTAAGTATTTGTATGTAAATTTCTGGTAGTTTGGTTATCTTTGTTATAGTTTCAGAGAAAAGTTTGTCTTTTTTTATTTTGGTTTTCAGTGGTATATTTTCCAATTTTTTAATTTTTGAAATATTATCGAAGTAACATTTTTGAAATAGAGGGAAATTATCCTATATTTTTAAAAACAATTAGTCATATTAATGCAAGCTAATACAAAACGTCACAATTGATTTATATTTATTAGATACACACAAAATTTTCGTCTATATATATATTTTTCAGAAAATCAATATTTCTGTCGATACATATATATTTTGCAGAAAATGAATATATATAAAAAGGCACACAATTAATCATCACTTTGTATTGACCGCATTTATGCTATGTTACTCAATCTTAAAATACAAAAGCTTTAAGTTAATAATTTAGTAGTTAACAAATATTATCGAAGTAACATTTTTGAAATAGAGGGAAATTATCCTATAATTTTAAAAACAATTGGTCGCATTAATGGTAGCAAATACACAGTGGCACAATTGATTTATATTTATTAGATACACACAAATTCTGTCAATATATATATATTCTAGAAAATCATTATTTTTGTCGACATATATATTTTGGAGAAAATGAATATATATAAAAAGGCACACAAATAGAATGTGAGAATATATATAGATTTGTATAACCCAAAAAATTCATGTTTGCATTGGGGAATGGAAGGTAGCGGCAGCTGCAACAAACAAAAGCAAAGAAATAATAATTAAGAGAGATGACAAGCTAAAGACCACAAAGTACAAAATTGACAGCAAAATTACAAAGAAACCAGCACAAAAGGGCATGATTGGAATAAAGCTAACAAAATGCAATACGAGGACAGCCGCAATAGCAGGCAATAAACTCAAAAGCAGGCCCCCATGATGCTAAAAGACACAAAAGTCCAAAATCAGTGGCAGAATTGCATCGAAACCGGGACAATCAACTATAGCTCGTGACTCGGCGCATTATGTAGTTTAGGATGATTATTTGATATGAATAACACATATTATATGTTAATACAAAGTGGTACAATTGATTTATATGTATTAGATACACACAAAATTTTTGTTCATTCGTATATATTAGATATACATATGATTTTCATTGATCTGTGTTAATACAAAGCAGCATAATTGATTTATATTGATTAGATACACATAAAATTTGTATATATTAGATGCACACAGAATTTTTATCGATTTGCATATTTTTTTGAAAATCAATATTTTTGTTAATATATACATTTTGGAGAAAGTTAATAAATAAGTTAATAAATATAAAAGAGCAGAGAAATTATATTTTGGAGAAAGTTAATAAATAAACGAATAAATATAAAAGGCCAGGGAAAATTATAAACATAAAAATGAATCCTTTTTTAAATCATAAAAACGCACACAAACAAAATGGCCGAAGATAGCAATTGCAGCAGCAGAAGATAGAACAAACAAAAGGACAAAATTGGCAACAAAATTACAAATGAACCTGGACAAAAAGGGCACAATCGGAATAAGGCAGCAAAAACAAAAATGAGGAAAAGAGCAACAGCAGGCAAAACGGTTGCATGGAGTTTGGTAAAAGAAAAAAAAGGGCAAAATCAGCCGCGGAATCACATGAAAACCAGCACAATCAACTGTAGCTCAAGCCGCGGGGCTTTATGTAGTTTAGATGTAGAGCTCAAAATCATTTGAGAAAATAAAAGAATACTTTTCTTTCTTATTTACTTTTCTCTTTTTCTAAATTCATCAATTTTCTTGATTTTTTTAGCATAGTGCCCACCATATAAAGAATATAAATCCTATAGTTTTATAACACGTTATGCGCTAAGGCTTAAATTCTCCCAGTTTCTTCTTCAGTCGGTTGAAAGCTTCTGTCCTAGACGAATTAGTAGTCGTACTTTCTCAAATGTAGTTGAAAGCTACGTCTACATCTTTTGAGCGCCCTAAGAAGTAGTTCTATGGGCATGTCATCTTTATTTCGAATGATTGTTGAACACATGTTACGATTCTTAAACTCTCCTTAAGGTAAGTTTCTCCTTTACAAATTTGTTTTAATTTCGTATGCCTAACTTCTAAATAATCGTAAAATAGAAGTGGCTACTACTAAATAATTATTAAGTACAAACATATACTTTTCAACATTTTTGAAATAATATTTCTTCTTTCAATCCTGTCCACTTATCTTATCGAAAAAATTATTTATTATAGATATTAGATGTTAAAATACAATCTAATGCAATGAATTTTGAGGACACTATTGTAAAAAATCAATTATTCTTAAGGATCCATTTGTCCTTTGAACTAATTAAAAGAAAAAGATTTGATCTTCTGAAGATAATCATTATTTTAAAGGTCTAGTATGATAAATTTACCTGTGATTGCAAAAACATAATTTTGTAATGTTCAGAATTACTTTTTAGTTAAAATTGTGTAGAGAAAATACTATTTATGAAATATGTTGAAAATAATATTCTCCACATTTGATTCCTCAAATATGCTCCTGTGTAGCAACAATATTGAGAGAAATTTTTTAGAAGTATTCTTTGTTTATTGCATATCTTCTTGTAAATGAATACAGTAATGAAATTCACCAACTAACTCTAGTTCATTCCCAAAAATAAATGAGATGAAAGTTTAAGTTGTTTGTTAGTTATGATTGTGGCCATAACTATAATTTTGGTAGATATGTATCTTATCATGGCAAAAAGAAAAATTGCCAGTTGAAGTAGGATAATAATAAAAGAACAAGAAAATAAGGATTCTAAAGATAATTGCTACTAGTATTGCATGAAAGATCATTAGTCCCATGCATGTCATATAACTATATATCTTATCAGTATTTATGAATTATCACTAAAAAGAAAGATTTTGAAGATTCATCCGAGTGAAGTAAAAAGTTAGTTTCATACCTAGAGTTTGATTAAATATTTTGTTAATTTTTATCATGTATTAGTAAAAAAGAAAACAAATGTCTGGAAGTACACTTGACCAAACCAAATTATAACAATATCTTGATATGATCAATTTCTTTAAACATCCTAAAGGTGTATGAAGATTAATTTGATTTATGATAATAATAATTGTATTTTCTTCTTGAAAAAGAATTGGATACCAAACATTTGGAATCAAAGGATTATAGTAATGATATTTGTCTCATAAGAATTATGGTGACGATGATATGTGTTTCACTGATAATATTACTATACACACTATATTTAAAAA